CCAATATCATCACACTGATTGGAGTCAAGGTTGGCTCACTCCTGGCTCCAATTAGCTCTGGGAGAAGTCTTTAAGCTAGGGCCTCACATACTTTTTCCTTCCTGCACTGTGAATGAAGAGATAAGTCCACTAGGTGACATGCACCTGGTTTCGACTTAACTCAGAGCACGCCAGCACATTTTGCAAAGTGACTGAAGTCCTGGAGTTCATCTTTAAATGCAGATACATAAAGCAAAAAAAGAAGGCCTTCGGATAAAAAAATAAAAAAATAGGGTGGACAACAACAACACAAGAACAGAAGTTGTTGCTGACAAAAAAAAGAAGAATTGTTGGGTCTTATGAAAGAACAGTGAATGGAGGTGTTCTGACATTCCAATCTCCCTAGCCACACACACTGCAAATCACTGCAAAGTATCACTGGCAATATACTGTATAATGTACTGTAACATAGTCCTATATATAGCACTCTATAGCTGTAGAAGTACCTTACACTTCAAACTCTCCCTCACTGCAATACTGTCAGCTGCCCCCCTCACTAAACTCTTGCATATTGACCAGGGGCAGACTGACAACTCATGGGGCCCCCGGACAATAGGAGATCATGGGGCCCCTGTGTCCTCGCCCACACTCAAACCACTCCCAAAAAAGCCTATGAAAGGTACCAGGGGCATCTCATGAGGACCCCTACTGACCCTGCACCCTCGGGCAGTGCCCGAGTGTCCGAATGGTCAGTCCACCCCTGATATTGACAAAAGGCTTCTGTGACAACAGTGGTTTTTAGTGTGTGGACTGCAACTTTAAGAAAAACCATCAATGACCAAAATCTTGCACCTGACTAGCAGTCAGGTGCAAGACTTCATCCAAAGACAGTTCTTGCAATGCATTATGGGATGTTTGGTGGAGCAATTCCGCTGAATTTACCTAAACTTCATATTTAATTGTCCAAAGTTTGGTTCAAACTTAGGTTCATCTCAAACTCTCAACTTATCCCTAGTAGTTACTCCCTTGCTAACAAGCCTCCTCATTACCTTGACTCTGGCCATTGTCTTACTATTTTATATCTATGTTATTATAGATATTGTTTTTGCTGTTAAGGAAGATCTGGACTTAATATTGGAAGATCTGGACTTAATATTCTTAGGAATGGGCACAAGAAAGATGAGTAAAGATTAGGTCAACAGGCAGAAGATTTCCACATAATTTACAGCTTTCAATGCATGACAACAGATGCAGGCGTGTGCCAGAACATTTATATTCTGTAAATGGAATGCAGATGAAAACACTTGCTGACTTCCTGAATATCTCCCCACCCATTCTCTTGTGTAGCTCCTGGCTAGGTTTGGAATATCCATGTGTAGGAAGGTTATCACCTGAAAAACATGACCTCACAAAATTCAGTTCAGACAAATGTTCAGTTCAAGATTGCTATTGGAAAAGAATGCACTAGCAAATTATACCCCACATCTTCAGAGATCCTGCCTAGTCTTTCCTTACAGGAAAAACACAGCAGAATACACAGTGTATACTGCATACTGTACAGTATATCATGGAGGGTTTTATTTGCATTTCTTGCACATTGCTGTAAAAGCTTCAGGCCATCTTAGAGCTTCTACTAGACACACGTATGATGGGTTTTCGGGATACTGTAGTTGAATGGTAGTGAAATATATTAAAGAGTAACTCCAGTTTCTAATTAGAAAAAAAAACCCTCTCAGTGTATGTACAGTATGTTGCAGGGATTTTATTAAACTTTTTTGCACAGTTCTATCTGTTTCTACTTTAAAGAAAAAACTGTTTGTTGTCTGCAGAGTGAATCTGAATGGGAGTGATTTTTCCTTAATAATCAGCTGATGAACATGTGGCGTTCTAATGAAGAAAGCCGCAGGATCTGCATTCCTTTAGAAGTGATCATCTCTTTGCAAGTATCTCACCCAAAAATACATTTTTGCCTAAAATGAGACTTGTATACTAGTGCAGACTACTGGAAAAATCAGTGAGCTAATCACACAAGCAATAAATGACATTTCTAGAGGTGATCTGTACACAATGGTGTATGGAACACCTCCGGGTTGCTATATTGCATTGAGTTTTACAGAAAATTACAGTGCTGCAGACTAAAAAGGACAGGTAATTTGTAATACCATTCAATTACAATATGGCTTGTGCAGCAATTCTAAATGCTATATTAGTTTTTTATTTGCTATTATTTTCCCACAGACATGGAGTTACCCTTTAAGTTCTGTAAGACATGTCATAAATATTGGGGCTAATTTATTAAAGGCAAATAGACTGTGCATTTTGAAAATGCAATTGCTCCACAGCTTAGTAAATGAGGGGAAGCTGGGCTGACGTCTATCATGCCTATCATGTGCATGCGAAAATGCTGGGGTCTTTTTTTCATTTTCCCATCATACAATTGGGTATTCTTTTCAAAGTGAAGCTTCACTCCATTTACTAAACTCTAGAGAAATTGCCCATGCAGAGTGCAACTGCACTTGCAAAGTGTACAGTCTATTTGGTGAAGATAAGGGGAAGCATTCTTAAGCCAGGGAGAAACAGGTTTATTATAAGAAAATAGACTTTATTGCATTGTATTGCATATTTTCAATTCTGACTGGCAAATGCTTGAGAGAAATATAATAATATTTAGAAGTCTTTGTGGCCCAATTTCTATGCCAAGCAGGGGCGGACTGACCATTTGGAAACTCGGGCACTGCCCCAGGGCCCGGGGTCAGTAGGGGGCCCCATGAGATGCCCCTGGTACCTTTTTCATAGGCTTTTTTGAGTTTGGGCAAGGATACAGGGGCCCCATGATCCCTTATTGCCCGGGGGCCCCATGAGTTGTCAGTCCGCCCCTGATGCCAAGTATCACTTTATGGGTGCTTCTAATACTATATATTCTGGTTTAATCAGCTCTCAAGGTAGATGGTCTTTTCTGGTAAAATAATAATAATAATAAAGCCAGTCTTTAGTGGGCTACTTGTCCTGAGGTAGAGCAACATATCTTCTCAGAGAGCTAAGACATCAGTCCTCACATTATCACATCTGTAACCTATGAATATTCACAAATGTTCCACCTGTGTCTGACAGATTCTCTTGAAAGGAGCAATTGCAATGTGCAAGAACTGCACATGGGCTATCACACTCTGTCCAGGGGAGCACCCTCACTAAGTTCTACTTTACTTGTCTGCCTTGTCAGAACTGTGAAAACACACACCAAAATGTTCTTTTTCATTGCCCTGTTGTGCTAGCCACACCAGTGTAACTGTCACACACCAGTGCAAGCATCTACTTTATCCCTGATTTTCTAGCCAGTGTGTCTTAGTGTCACCAGTGCTGCCAAGCAACAGCTGTCCCAATGTCACTATCGCACCAGTACCTGTCACACTAGTACTGTGTTACAATTGCAGCCATTTCAATTTGTTTTAGGCCTGTTCTATGAGTTGAAGCCCATCACAATTAACACATTTACAATTTTTCTTGACCTTACTCTAAATATGGGACTCACAAAAAAATTAACTTTTCTTCTATTTGTCCACATACCCCATTCATCATATGCACTGCATTCCTCCATTATGAGCAGTAACACTATATACAATTAATAATATAGAGAAAAATCAAGCGCTAAGTCCCATATAGTGTATTTAGCTCTCTAAATCTACAGCTGTATGAGACACTTGGACTGGTGACAATATGTGAGATTGAGGGAACACAGTGCTCAGGGACATTGAAGAAATAATATCCCAATACAAATTCTTGTAAAAACACTGTGGGGAAGTCATATAACCATATACCCATGTGCTTCAATGAATTTTATTCCAAAGATATATAGAAGCAGATAAAAGAGGAGAATATGTAACATAAGTGGTTCCAATTACCGGACCCTCGTGGCTGGAGGTGGAAGATCTGTCAAGCCTTGCTGGACCATTGGGCTAAGATGTATCAGTAGTCCCAGTGGAGAGAGGAGCGTTCCCACTGGTGTGGAAATTCTCTGTGTCGGACGGGCATCACGGTGCACCAGATGTGGTGTCATCAGGCTCCCAGGAGGTGGGTAGAAGTAAACCACAGGATGCCAGCTCGGACCGCAAACAGTCAGGTTGCCTTGACGACATGTTTTGCGCACATGCACTTTATCAAGTCATGGAACACAAAGACAACAAGTAGTCAATCAGTTGGTGAGTGCCTCAAAGTAGTATTATTAATTCTATTATTGTTATAATTTTTTTCAATTTATCTTTTAAGCTGATTTCTATTATTATTATGATTTTTATACTTGATCTCTAACATCTATGGGTGAATTATTTAATTATCTGGTGATTACATATGTAAGATATATATATATCTGTTTGTATATGTGTAAATTGTTGTATATATGCAGATTATATGCCGTATTTTTCACTCCATAAGATGCACCTGACCATAAGACGCACCTAGGTTTTAGAGGCGGAAAACAAGAAAAAAAATATTCTGAACCAATGGACTACAGACATAGTACAGGAGATGACCTGAGACTGCAGACATAGTACAGGAGATGACCAGAGACTGTGGACATAGTACAAGAGATGACCAGAGACTGCGGACATAGTACAGGAGATGACCAGAGACTGCAGACATAGTACAGGAGATGACCAGAGACTGCGGACATAGTACAGGAGATGACCAGAGACCAGAGACTGCGGACAGTACAGGAGATGACCAGAGACTGCAGACACACTACAGGAGATGATCAGAGACTGCAGACATACTAAATCAGATGACCAGAGACTGTGGACACAGTACAGGAGATGACCAGAGACTGTGGACACAGTACGGGAGATGACCAGAGACTGCGGACATAGTACAGGAGATGACCATAGACCAGAGACTGCGGACAGTACAGGAGATGACCAGAGACTGCAGACATACTACAGGAGATGATCAGAGACTGCAGACATACTAAAGAAGATGACCAGAGACTGCAGACACAGTACAGAAGATGACCAGAGACTGCGGACACAGTACAGGAGATGACCAGAGACTGTGGACACAGTACAAGAGATGACCAGAGACTGCAGACATAGTACAGGAGATGACCAGAGACTGCGGACAGTACAGGGGATGATCAGAGACTGCAGACAGTACAGGGGATGACCAAGAGACTGCAGACCGTGCAGGGGATGACCAGAGACTGCGGACATGGTGCTGGAAATGACCAGAGACTGCGTACAGTGCAGGGGATGACCAGAGACTGCGGACAGTGCAGTGAATGACCAGAGACTGCAGACAGTACAGGAGATGACCAGAGACTGCAGACAGTACAGGAGATGACCAGAGACTGCAGACAGTACAGGGGATGACCAGAGACTGCAGACAGTACAGGAGATGACCAGAGACTGCAGACAGTACAGGGGATGACCAGAGACCACAGACAGTACAGGGGATGACCAGAGACCGCAGACAGTACAGGGGATGACTAAGAGACTGCTGACCTTTGGGGAGGGAGGGGGAGCAGGTACCTGAATTTGACAGGTACCCGCTCCCACTTCCGCGGAGTTGTCCTCCCTTTAGTGTGGGCACCCGCCTGACAGCCGGGTGCCCAGTGCACATGCGTGAGAAGCGCTGCGCTTTGTGATTGATCCGGCGTCTTTTGGGACCTGTCATGTGTCCCAGAGGACACCGTACCATTCACAAAGTGCAGCGCTTCTCGAGCATGCGCACTGGGCACCCGGCTGTCACAGCCGAGAGCCCACACTAAAGAAGCAGGCACGGGAAGACTGCGCAGCGCAGGACCGAGGAACAGGTAAGGTTCTGCTGCAGAGAAGAGCTGAGCGGCCGTCCCGGTATTCTAACACGGCGGTGGTGGAAATACCGGACCGGCCGCTCCATATTCACTCCATAAGACGCACTGACATTTTCCCCCTTTTTTGGGGGGAAAAAAGTGCTTCTCGTGGAGCGAAAAATACGGTGTATATATATATATATATATATATATATACACATTTTTAATCCTGTAGGAATGCATCCATGAACACAACACAGAAATGAGAGTTCTTCAAAAAGACTGTATGTGAACACACTGCAAAATATATTCCCATGGGCAAGTTTAAAAAGCTAAAAATCAAACCTATGTGGCTTACGGCCAAAGTTAAAAAAGCTATTGATAATAAGAGAAGAGCTTTTATTCAATATAAAAAATGAAGGAACGCTATCATCATTTAAACATTACAAAGAATATAACAGAATATGCAAAAAGGAAATGAAGGCTGCAGAAAGATTCTTCAAAAATATTAATAGTAAAAAGGTCAGGTCGAGGAAGTAGACCCTTTACAAAATAATCTAGAGTGGGTGACTGGGGACAAAGAGAAGGCAAATTTATTAAATACCTTCTTCAGCTCTGTGTATACAAAGGAGCATGGGAGAACTCTTGACTATAATTGGCATGGTATTGACACAGCTCCAGATGATCAACATTGGCTCACAATTGATATGATCCAAAAATATTTTGTCAGAATAAAGGTGAATAAAGCACCTGGACTGGATGGCATACACCCATGGGTGCTTAAATAATTGAGCTCTGTCATTTCAAAGCCATTATTTCTAATTTTTAAGGACTCTTTAATGACTGGCATAGTACCACTGGATTGGCGTAAGGCCATTTTGGTGCCAATATTTAAAAAGGGGTCAAAATATTTACCAAGTAATTATAGACCTGTTAGTTTTAACTTCCATAGTTGGGAAGATACTAGAGAGTTTAATAAAAGACCACATAGAGGAGTTCTTGCTGGAAAAAATATTTTAAGCAATAGACAACATGGATTCATGAGGGACAGAAGTTGTCAAACAAATTTGATTTCTTTTTATGGGGAGGTGAGCAAAACCTTGAACAGAGGTGACAGTGGACATGGTATACTTGGATTTTGCAAAAGCGTTCAACACAGTTCCCCACACATGTCTAATGTGTAAGGTAAAGTCTACAGGCTTTGAAAAATCTGTATGTAAATGGATAGAAAACTGGCTAAAAGATCGTATTCAGAGAGTAGTGGTTAATGATTCATATTTTGAATGGTCTAGGTTGTTAGTGGTGTACCGCAAGGTGCAGTGTTGGACCCTTACTTTTTAATATTTATAAACGATATAGGGTCTGGGATTATAAATACTTTGCAGATGACATCAAGCTGTGCAGTGGAATAACATGCTTACAGGATGTTTCCAACGTGCAAGCCAACCTCAATGCACTGTGTAATTGGACAACTATGTGGCAAATGAGGTTTAATGTTGATATATGTAAGGTTATGCCCTTTGGGGCTAAGAATATGCATGCATCATATATACTAGGGGGAGTCAATGGTGGAGAAGGATATGGGAGTTCTGGTAGATCACAAACTTAATAATGGCATGCATTGCCAAACTTCAGTTTCTAAAGTGAGAACAATCCTCTCTTGTATTAAAAGAGGTATAGACTCCAGAGAGAGAGAGAGAGATAATTTTACCCCTGTACAAATCATTAGTAATACCTCTTCTGGAATATGCAGTTCAATTTTGGGCACCAATTCACAAAAAGAACATTGGGGAACTGGAGAAAGTACAGAGAAGGGCAACCAAACTGATAAAAGGCATGGAGGAGCTCAGCTATGAGGAAAGATTAGAGGAACTGAATTTATTCTCTCTTGAGAAGAGGAGATTAAGGGGGGATATGATCAACATGTATAAATACATCAGTGGTTTCATATAATGGACTCGGGGTGGAGTTATTCACCTTAAGGTCATCACAGAGGACAAGGTGGCACTCTTTACGTCTGGAGGAAAAGAAATGTAATCTCTAAATACGGAAAGGTTTCTTCACAGTAAGAACTGTGAGAATGTGGAATAGACTCCCTCAAGAGTTAGTTCTGGACAGCTCAGTGGATGGCTTTAAATAGGCCTGGATTCTTTCTGGGATACACAGAATATAACTGGTTATTAACATTTATAGGTAAAGTTGATCTAGGGAATATCCGATTGCCTCTCAGGGGATCAGGAAATAATTTTTTCCCCATGCAGAAGCAAATTGGATCATGCTTTGCTGGGTTTTTTGCCTTCCCGTGGATCAACTGTGGATGTAGGATTATAATTCTTTTTTTTTGTGGTTGAACTGGATGGACTTTTGTCTTGTTTCAGCCAGACTAACTATGTAACCAGGGGCGGACTGACAACTCATGGGGCCCGCGGGCAAGAGGGGATCATGGGGCCCCTGTGTCCTTTCCCAAACTCAAAAAAGCCTATGAAAAAGGTACCAGGGGCATCTCATGGGGCCTCCTACTGACCCCGGGCCCTCGGGCAGGGCCCGAGTTTCCAAATGGTCAGTCCGCCCCTGTATGTAACTATGTAGATTATAATGTCCAATACAGCACTACCTAGCCACCAGAAGATCCGTTCTTTGATACAAAATAGTGTCCATCTATCTATTCCAATTGTCCATTTACTCCTAAGTCCACAAAAAGATTTGGCATCTTCCTAAACTATCAAGAGTAGACTGTAACAGCCCTTATTAACCGGGAAAGTCCTACACCTGAGAACCTTTAATCAACTTCTCTGGTATTATCTCTCCTGCTGAAACGGGCTTGAAACCCCCCCAAAAAATGTTTTTTTATGCACCAGAGATGGTTTAAGGCAAGAAACACATTAATATTGTCCCCAATATCCCTCACAACATCACCTATGTATAGGAGACTGCTTCTGTCATTACCACACCTCACCACGATATTAGTGAAGGTGTGGTAAAGGTATTTCTCCTATGGCTGACAACCTGCATTTTGCCCATATATGATGTCCTGTGTACTTACCATTTGCCTGTTTTTGGAACCATGGTTCTGTCTGATGCATGGACTGACCCTTTGCCTGCATAATGACCATACCTTTGCCTGCTACCAGAACTGACCTCAGCCTGTTTATCAACCATGTTGTTTGCCTTTGCCACCTGGACCGATCTTTTGCCTGTGCAATAGAGCAAGGCTCTGCCACTGTAGCATTGGGATTGAAGACAACAAAGGGTTCTCACTTATGCAGAGTGATGGGCTTCTGAGTTGTGTTTCAGAGCAGGGAGGAAACTAAGAGTTTTTTTTCTTGGCTTTGTAACTCTTGGATCAGTTTCTAGAGTTCAAAAGCTTTGAAGATCTTTGGGTGGGAATAAGTCTCTACCCTGTGTCTATGTCTTACCAGAGACCAGCAGGCTACTACACTTGAACATTACCCCCAGAAAATAACACTGCATACTAACCATGCATGTCTCTCTCTGCCACTTGAACTGATCCAGGCCAGTTAATTGACCAAGTTTCTGTCTGCTGCCTGGACTGATCCTTTACCTCCATACTGATATCTGACTTCTGCCTGAACTGACCCCAGCCTGTTTATCAACCAAGGTTCTGCCTGCTACTTGAACCTATCCTTTACCTGTTTGCTGACCTTGTCTTTGTCTGGCACCCGTACTGCTGACCCATCTGATATCCCACTGACTTTGTTCCTGCAAGACACCAGGCCCACCCAGCCTTTGTGGACAACTGTACTCCTGGAGCCAGAGGTAATATTTTGTTTACCCTTTGTTCAGCCTCCTGTACTTCCTGGCCAGTGAACATTGCATTGCACTCTAGGGGCAACCATGTACCAGTAAATTTGCTAAATTATTTAACAGAAACTAAGAAAAAACTTTTTTTTATTGTTTTGGTCTTTTTCCTATATATAGCAAAAAATAAAAAAGATCTACTGGTGAATAAATACAATCAAAAGAAAGATATATCTGTCTAAAACAATTATATTTTTTCAATGATTGCCTAAAGGTAAGAGTAGAGTGGGTGAGGTGAGAGGTTGAGTAGTAGGAGTATTGTAGCTTTACCTCTGTAAAAAACATCTAAGCCAATGCAAAACTAACTGATTGTAGCAATCGTGCAAACCGAGATGGGCGCGGTCATCCATCTTGTTAAGAATCTTCCATTTTGTATCATCTTTTTCTCCCAAATCAGGCTTCCTCCTCCAATTTCCTCCCTCCCTCCCTCAAAAATGTGGTCTGTGTGTGTTTGCTGAGTTCAAAAGGCAACAGGCCCCAGTGGGAGAGCTCCAGGGCTGTAAATCCCACACTAGCTATTTGCCCCTCTGTCTGCAAGACCCTCGCTGGAGAAGGGGTCATCAAGCCATAAACCAGCCCTCACTGAGCTTCAAAAGACATTCCAGGTGGTCATAAAAACAGACTTACATTTTAAAACCCTGTTTTCCATATAATTTTATATCTCCAATAGGAAATAATTACGCAAATGTGGAACACATATTCGGATGGCTCACTGTAAGACAAGTCACCTGGTATATTACACCCCCTATCTGACATACACAGGAGAGCAGAAAATTATATCTCCTTAACCATTCAAGCAAATATTTCATACTTAATATCTAACCATTCAGCAGATGATTCTGGATATTAATCTACTTGTGGATAGACTGTTATATGTACCTAGGAAAAGTTATTGGCCATTGTATAATTTGTGAAGGCTTTGGTCAAATCCTGAGCTCCCCACCTACACAACCCCCTCCCCAACTGAGGCGATTGGTTCTCTGAGTCAAGGAGACACCCTGTGGAGTTCCTAGAAAAGCTAAGCTAAGCTGAGTGGAGTTAAGTTGAAGAATTCTCCCTTTTTTTTACATCGGAACTAACTTTGGGAGAAAACACCCTTTTGCTCAGAAAACTTGAAAGCTGCTTAACTCAAGGCTTTTGGCAAGTACTTTATCTATCTAAATTCCTTTCTGTTATCTCTTTGCTGTGCTATTGCTTTCTGTATATTTATATATATATATATTGGCTACA